ATGTGGGGCACATAGGGTTCATGTAATTATTCTTTAGACTCTACACACACATTTTATAGGCTTTTCTGTATGCAATAGAGATTTCAGAGTTTAAAAAAAAAAAGGAAGAGTGATATCAGAATTCCTCTGGATAATCTCAATGCATTGATGTCCTGAAATTCTGACTCATGGTAAAAGAAACAAAATTAACTTTACCCAGAAAAGAAGGACACTCCTGATTTTGTCAAGCTCTTGGTTTTTTTCCCCTGCTAATGCTGTGATTGAGGGTTCTAATTCCTTAGAGAATCTAAACGTCAAAGGATACTGAAATCTTTTATCTCTAGCCTGTTGGCTCACAAAAGAGGGGAGATTGTCTTGTTCACCTCTCTATTGTCTATGCAGAGAGCCATCCTGTTGGAGCCCACTGGCTCCCCAATAAATGTACAGAGAATTGAATGACAGTGTTCAATGGGCAAGTGTGGAGAGAGAGACCCCTTCTGCCCTAGAGGTCCTTCTCACTCCTCACCCCCTCATCGCACATCTGCCCATCCTTCAGAGTGCTTGCTCATAGCTTTGCCCTTCTACGAGTTCTTCTCAGAGCTTAGTTTGAGGCCAACTCTTCCTCTGCTGGTTTCCTCCCAGTCTTGTTTCTCAGTTTTCATTTTGCCCATTCTTGAGTATTTGTGGATATGTTGACCAAACCCACTTCACTTTGCCACTTTTTTTTGGTGCATATTGGGTTGATTTGGAAAAGAAAAGCCATTTCATAGTGTGTCTGCTCTCCTTGGCTCCATATAGCTGACTTAAGGGGACTCCACTCTAGTGAACGATGATATAAAAATATTCACATTAGCCTGGCAGGAACTTCTGCTTTCCTCATCATTGCTCCTAGCACCTTCTTAAGATTCTGTGCCTAAAATACTCACAGAAAGCAGTGGTGGTGTTTGGCACTCTCCGAGGCTCCTGCAGAGTGCTCTGTGACCTGACATCACCCTTGCTCTGGGGAATATGCCCAAAAGAAGGAGAAGAGCAGGATGGAGACGCTTCCACTGCTCTAGTGGCCCATACATCCCCAAGGCTCTAGGACTCATCTCAGGCCTGGCAGCTTTTCTCACGGGCATAGAGCTTATTCTTCTGACCTCGAGACATGATGACTGTGGCTAAGGACAGCAGAAGGGAATGTGGCAGGCGGGCACTTGGTGTGGCTCCTGGAGGAGAAGGGTGAGAGGCTGTGAGCCCCTTTGCCAGGCACTGCTCTTGGACCCCACAGGGCTCCTGTTCTTCTGGTCAGCCTGTCCTCTGAGGACCCCTGAAGAAGTTAGAATGTGCCTTGGGCTATAGCCTGCCAGCCTTGCCTGGGGCTGCCTGGGGTGACAGCAGGGGCTGGTAGCAGGGATCCTCCCTGCTGGGTGGAGGCCTATCAGTTTACAGTCAGCGCCATCATATGAACTGTTGGCAGGGCCTGGGCCCCTCCCTTCTGCTGTACTGAAGTTGACCCCTAAAACCTGGCCTCCACCTTCCTGGAATCCCTAAGAGGAGAAGGGACCTGGGGCTGACAGCTCAGTGAGGGCCTTCTCTGGCCTGGGCTCACTGGGAGTCCCTCTACTGACATGAGTCTACCAGCCTCTGAACAAAGCCCTTACCTCCCTGCCTCCCTAGAGGGAGAACTTGGGTACACCACATGTGCCTACCCCTGCATGGAGCTCCCGGTACTGTGAACAGGAGTGGGGCTCTGGGTGGCCTCCCCTTTTGGAGCGAGGTCCCCTGGTGAGCACTTGGGTTCCTCACTTGGATTCCAGTTAGGACCCAATCTCCTCTCTTGGAAGAAACTAAGGCCCTCCCCTTCCTGAGACCTTTCAAGCAGAAGTCAGCCCATAGCTCTGTCCACCCTCCTAGTGCTGAGAGAGGGCGTGGGGGTGGGGGGCAGGGGACACTGGGCAGCTCCCTTGGTTATGGGCAGAGTGAGCTCTTCAGTCCACATTCAGGGTCTCCAGTCTGGAAACTTGACCAGCCCTGGACCTTCATCCTCTTTCCTGAGTCTGTGCCCCTCAGACCAATGCCCTCATTTTCTGGATTCCCCAAGGAGAAAGTCAGGGTGGGCTGTGTCCGGCCAAGGCTGTATGGCACCTCTGAGGGCTGACAGCAGGCACAGGACCGTTTGGGACCCCACTGATACGCATCACAGCCTGGTCTCCTCCACCTACTGATCTGGGTCTATCAGCCTCACACTCGAGTCCTCACCTCCCTGAATGCCTAGAACATGGGCTGCAACATGGCTGCTTACCCCTGCCTCAGGCCTCCCAGGGCCAAGAGCTGGGGTGGGACTCTGAGAAGTCCCCTGGTTTGGGGAGAGTTCCTCTCATTAGTACTCAGGGTCCTCCCCTGTACACCAGTTAGGGATAAAACTCCTCCCTCTGTGACACTAGGGCCACCCATTACACCAAGGCCCTCCCATCTCTGTGACGCCACAGGCAAAAATGAAGGGTTTCTGGGCTAAGTGCTCTGCCCTCGGCAATCCAAGGATAAGAACATGCAGGGCCCTGTGGGAACCTCTCTACCAGTGGGAGTCCCCTCCTATCACTGAGTCCCAACCTTGTTTCCTCTTAGTTCCTGGGTCTCCACCTCTGCAGAACTGGGGCCACCCCCACTAGACCAAAGCCCTTCTCTTTCTGCTACCCTGCAGGCAGAAATGAGGGGGCTCCCCGATCTCACACGTCTTCTCTAGGCTTTCCAGGGTTACTAGCTGGGGCAGGAGCAGGGGAGGTTTGTGGGGCCTCCTGTGTTCTCAGGTGGGTGTTTCCCTCACTCCCTCAGTGCACCAAGCATTGGGGATGCCGCCTCAGCTGACCTTTGGCTGCTTCTCTCTCCTTCCTGGAACTACGGAGTTGGAAGACAGGGTGAGCCAAATCCAGCTACAACTGTTCCAGACCCTCAAGAGCTGACAGCCGGGGCAGGGCCTCATGGGGTCCCACTGTTCTGCTTGAGTCCTTTCCTCATTCCTCATTCCAGGTCCTCCCCTTGTTGTCTGTCAGTGGCTCGCAATTCTCCCTCTACTGAGCTGAGGTCGCCCTCCTTAGGCCAAGACCTTCATGTTCCAGACAACCCTGAAGGACGAGGGGATGGTCAGCCTTGCCTGGGGCCCTGTGGTCTGAGGGCAGGTGCAGGTTAGTCTCTGTGAGACCACCTATATTCCGGGGTGTTGATCTCCCCATCCTCTGACATAGGGTCCCACATCTTGGCTCATGTTCCTAGATTACAGGCTTCCTAGGAAATGCTAGGTCCCCACAAACACTTGAGCGAACTTTCCTCCTGCAAAGCTTGCAGATAGAATTGGTGTGGCAGGAGCGATGGGAGACCGGGAGGCTGTAGCTCAACGCAGCATGCCCAGGAAAAAGCCAGCCGATTTCTTCCTTCTCTTCACCAACTGGACTTCACCTCGTATGTAACTTTGGTTCTAATACGTCGACTTTTTCTAAGGCAGGGATGGAGCTGCATGGTTTGGTGAACCCCTATCTTTCGGGGTGATCTGACACTGCACATGCAGATGATCATATGGTCCCCAACTATTTTCTTTTTCTTTATTCACACCACTTGTTTATTTTGATATTTTATTGCTCTAGCTATGTATTCCAAACCAATAGTTTGTGCACAGAGCCCTCTTTTTATCACCTGAGATAGATCTCGGAGTTGTGAAAGGAAGTGTGAACTATGATGCAGTATCTGCCTCTGGCTGAGAGGTGCAGGGTAGTGTGGGCTCTAGATAAATTCAGACCATGGGCTCAGCACTGGCCCTGCAATTTACCAGCAGTGTGAGCTCCCGCACATTAGCAAACTCTCGGACCCTCAGGTTCTTTATCTGTGGAGCAGGTTTGGTAAGCCCTGTCTTCCAAGACCGATGGATGTATGGAATGTGTGTTGCAAATCCAGTACAGAGCCTGACAAGTATTGAGATATTTTTGAATAGCAATTATTACCATGATTATTTTGACCCAGATGATACCACATACCACACTGGGATTTTTTTTCTTTTTTTCATTTGAGAAGGAGGTCAGAGAATATGCAGTGTTCTAGGAAAACAAAACAAAACACTCAAATCAGCCAAAATGCTGCTTACAAAATAAAACTAAACACTATTTCCCCATTAGATGATAAGTCATTTGATGTGGGTGTCTGGTAGACTTCCCAGTTGGATACACCATGAAGCTACTACAGGTGTGCAAAGGGCAATGAATTGCCTCCTTCTCAGCTGCCCTTGCATGGAACCCATCTCTGTTTTTACTCATTTCACCACCACCAAAAATCTAGACATCATTTAGAGTTTGCCATATTACACAGAAGAATGCCCAATTTAGGTTTCCTTTTAATGGAGCAGTCAATCCCCCGAGCCACCCCAGGCCAAGGCAAAGCGGTTGCTGTCACCCTAGTCTCAGAAACTCTCTGGACACTGATGGCACAAAACACCTAGTGAGTGCACTGTGTTCACCTGCCCGGGAACAGAGCCCAGGAGTCCTTCTCCCCCTGCCACAGGTGTCTGGGGACTTCTCTCTGGTTTACCACATCCCTAAGGAATGGTTAAGAGCAGTTTTCCATCGCGTAGTCTTTCCATTGTGAGACCCACCATCTGGGGCTCTGGTCCCTGGTCCTCACCATTTCAACAGCTTCAGCTAACCCTTGGTGTAGCCAAACTTAAAATTCCCTCCCACAGAGGGACTGGCAGCTTCCCAGGCTCCCCGCCTGTCTTGTCTCTGGAGATTTACCCTGGACTGCTTCTATGTAGAAGCTCCTCCCTCCTTCTGCCTTCTGTTTACTGCCCTTCAGGATGAGGAGTGTATCTCACCACGTTCCTTATCTGATAGCTTCTCTTGGACTCTGAAATGTTATTGGCAGGGGTTGGGTCTTCTTTGTGTACACGTCCTAAAACTAGCATGAAGCCTTCCAAAGAGCAGATGCTCGATTCACGTTTGGTGAACAAAAGAGATGGTGAACAAGAGTTCTAATTCATGACCATTTCTTTTCTCCCACATTCTTGAAAAGCTAAGCAAATCCAGGTATATATCTTTTAATTCTACCCAAAGAAAGAGCAAAATAAATAAGAAAAACCAAGGAAAGTAAAAACTTTTTACTTTTCTATTTTTTTTCACTATCTTGTTATCTCAACATTTTCACAGTGCAGTTCTCTTACATTTTAATGAAAATCCCTATTCCAGGGCTATGTTTTTCTTGTACTGGCTCACAATAAAAGATGCAAGGATTTTCAGTTTGTCTTACAAAATACAAAACCATTACTCTCAAATTTGATAACTAGCAATAAGTATGTGAGCCATGTTATTCATAAGCTTAGATTCTGAATTTCAGTAAACCTTTTTAAAAAGAACACATTGGAAAGATAAGAAAAAAAGAGGTAAATCTGTATGTTATTTATGAGTAACAAGAACACAAAGAAGAGAGATATTCTGCTCTCTCCAGCCCCACCTGACTCCACATTACTTTAGGAGGTTGACAGCCCTTTCCAAAGGCAAGGTGAAGACCCCGTCTTCGACTTCACTAGGGCTGAGGGGGGCTGCTGGATGTGGCCTTGGAGCAGGCACTGGCCGGGGCACCAGTGGCAGCCTGGTTTGCAACTCTCGCCTGGGCTCGCTCTTCCTCATCTCTCAAAGCCTCTTCATAAGGGCCCTGGAAGGCACTGGGGACAGTATTGCTGACTTTGGCCAAAAACTCCAGGACTTTCATCTTGCTGATTTCAGCGTGGGCTCTTGGGCCCCACAGGAACTCGTAGCGAGGAGGATCACTGTCGGCCACCTGGCGGTACTCCAGGTACTTTTCCTGCACCAAATCTTTGGTGATGAGCTTCCTGGGCTCCCCAAAAATGAGATGCCTCCTCCCAGCATAGACCCCCAACGCATTCAGGAATTCCCACATCTCCTCCTCAGTGGCCCGGTTGCCATTCATGAAGATCACACCCAGGAGAGGCATCAGGAGCCCGTTCTTGGGGAAGTCCATGCCATCACTCAGATGCCCTTCGGTGGGAAGGCCCACTTTGCTAACAAAGGCATACGAGTGACTGCTGGGGTCAACTTCCTTCAGCTCAAGGCCAAAGACCAGCTCCAAGTGGTCAGTGGTTCTCCTGAGGATCTCAGGGAATTGCTCCTTGTACTTTTTGTTGATCACCTTCAGCATTTCTGCCTCTGTAATGGGCTCCTTCATTTTATACTTGTACAGCAGAAAATGCACCAACGTGCCCGCCTTCCTGATCAGAAGATCTGTGTGAGAGCTCTCAGGGGAAGGCGGGGCCTGGCAGGGACTTGGGCTTTCCTCTTTTTGGCTCTTGGCACCTTCATCAGAACTTGAGCCTGAAATGGTTGCATCAGGACTGCTGGTGGATCGGGCCCTCTGAGACTTTTGGGGAGGGCCTGTTGCAGGGGAGCTCAGGGGCGCACCCTCACAGACAGGCAAGGGGGAAGAGGGGACCTCTTCTTCCACTGCTGCAGTGGCCTGAGCTGCCCCAAGACCCTGGCTCTCACCTCGGGCCTGTCGGCGTCTCTCCCGGGCACGGAGCTTACTCTTCCGACCATGAGGCATGACAGTGGTTAGGGACAGCAGGCACGAGTGTGACAGGAGGGCACCTGACGCGGGCCCCTGGAGGAGGAGGATAAAAGGGTGTGAGTCCCTTCAGCAGAGAGATGTCACTGTGGCTTTAAAAATGCCCCATGTAGGTGTCCTTGAGGGCACCGCTGTAGGACCCCATAGGGCTTCTGTCCTCTCAGTCAGTCTGTCTCCTGAGGCCCTGGTGGAGGAAGTCAGAGCATGCCTTAGGCTGCAGCCTGCCAGCCCTGGCTGGGACCAGGACCCTCGCTTCTCTGTTCTCTGATCCTGCTCCCCTGTCTCCTAAGAAATGAGTCCTCTCACCCAAACAGCTCTGCCCGTGGCTTTCCAGGCTGACACCCCAGGGAAGACTTTCCGTGGCCTCCTCTGTTCTGGAATGGTTTCTCTCATTGCTCCCACAGGATTTTTACCTTCACTCCCCACAGGGCCTGGGACTCCTCTCTCTGCTAAACTGGGGCAACCAGTCCTTAAACCAAGGCCCTCATTTACTGAAACCCTGCAAATTGAAGTCAGGAGGCACCTGAATCTGTCAGTTCTGCCCTGGGCCTCCCAGGGGTGAGGCTTGGTGCAACCCTCTCCATTGGGGGGTTGACTAGTCCCCATTTCCTCCCTCAGTATCCTCACCTTGACACCTGACCAGTCCTGGGACTCTCCCTTCAGGGACCTGAGCCCATGCCTTTTCCACCAAGGTCTTTACTTAAATGGGACCTCAGAGTTGGAAGTTCAGAGTGATCCACGTCCTGCCAAGGCTGCTTGGGGCCTACAAAAGCTGAGAACAGGGTGAGGATTCTATGGGATCCCACAGCTCTCTATTGGGTCATTAGCTCAGTTCTCACCCAGAGTTCTGACCTTGGCTCAGTGTCAGACTTCTGACTCCTCATTCTACTGAACTGAGTCAACCAGGCTCAGATCAAGGTCTTCCCTTCCCTGAGTCACTGGAGGTGAAGCTGGGTCACACCACATCTGGATCCACCTGCCTCAATCCTCCTGGAGCTGAGAGCATGGGTAGTGTTCTGGTCTGCCCTCCCTTTTCGGGGGAGGTCCTCTCATTAGCACTCAGGGTCCCCAGTCTGGAATCCTACCAGGGCGTTGGTCTCCTGCTGCTGCAGAACTGGGGCCACTTCCTTAGACGAGGCCCTTCTCTCCCTGGGACATTTCAAGCAGGTCACACCATGGCTCTGCTGGGACCTCCCAGAGCTGGGGGGCAAGGGCACTGGGTGTTTGTGTCAGTCCATCTTCAGAATCTCCACCTTCATACCAGACCAGTCCTAGAACTCCACCCTCCACTTACTAGAGTTCCTGCCCTTCAGACCAAGGTCCTCCCCTTCCGAGTTCCCCAAGGTGGAAGTCAGGGTGAGCCTCGGTATATCCGAGGCTGTATGGGGCCTCCGAGGGCTGACAGCAGGGGCAGGACTGTTTGGGACCCCACTGATACACATCAAAGCCTGGGACTCTTCCCTCTGCTGATCTGGGTCTATCAGCTTCGCACTCGAGTCCTTAACGTTCCTCAGTCGCTAGACAGGAAGCGCAGACGCACTGCATCTGTCTGTCCCAACCTGCGGCTCCTAGTTGCGACTGGCCCCTCCCCCGTTTTGAGGGAAAGGTCCCCTCATTAGCACTCAGGGTCCCACCAGAACTCCAGTTAGGAGCCATGATTCTTCCTGTAACAGAACTGTGGCCACCCCACTTAGACCTAGGCCCTCCCCTCTGTGGTGCGCTCCACAGACAAGCCAAATAATTGTGCCAGGGCTCCCAGTGCTGAGGCTAGGGCAGTTCTTCGTGGGGCTTCCTTGGTGCTGGGCAGAGTGGTTGCTTCATTCCACATTCAATGCCCTTACCTTGATACCTGAGCAGTCCTGAAATTTCCCTCTCCACTAACTCGAGGTTGCGTCTGTCAGGCTAAGTTCCTCACCTTCCAGAACTTTCAAGGCGGAAGTCAGAGTAAGCCACATCCGGCCAAGGCCGCTAGGGGGTCTCGGAGGGCTGTCAGCAGGGGCGGTTCTACAGCAACCCAGTGGTATCAATCCGAGCTGGGGACTCCTCCCTCTACCCGCTTGAGTCCCCTAATCTCACACCGTCCCTGAGTCCCTAGAAGGGAAAGTCGGAGTGCACCACATCTGCCTACCGTTGCTACAGACTCCTGGGCCTGTGCAGCAGGGCCGGGGCTCTGGGCACCCTCCTCTTTTGGGGACAGGTCCTCTCTTTAGTATTCAGGGTCCTCACCTGAGCTCCAGTTAGGGCCAGAACTCCTTCCTCGGCGTCACTGGCTCTGCTGCCTTTCTCCCAGGGCCTCCCAGACTGAGAGCTCCAGGCACGAATGAGGAGCTTCTGGGCTGAGCGGTCGGCCTCCTACGCCGAAGAAAAGGGCGCCGGGGACGTGTGATCCTCTCTGCTGACGGGAATTATCGCTTATCACTAGGTCCTCGCCTTAGCTCTTGGTAGTTCTTGGGTCTCCTCGCTCTGCAGGATTGTGGCCCAATCTCACTAGATTAGGGTCTTCCTCTTTCTGAGGCCCTGTAGGCAGAAATGAGGGGGCTCCTCAGCCTGACAACTCTGCCTCAACCTGGGCCTCCCAGGTTGTGGGGGGCGGGGGCGGGCGGGCGGGGATGCTCTGTGGTGTCTCCTCCGCTAGAGTGTGGGTAATTCCCGCATCCTCCCTAAATTTCGCTACCTTGACACCTGGCTAATCCTGGGACTCCACTCTCAGAAAACCTGGGGCTGTCCCCCTCAGATCAAGACCCTTATCTCCTGGGACTACAGAATTAGAAGTTAGGGTTAGCCAGGTCCAGACTTCCCATGACCGACAGCCAGGGCAGGACTCGATGGGACCCCACTATTCTGGCTGGGTCCTCCCCTTGAAGCCTATTAGAGGCTCACATTCCTCCCTTTACTGACCTGAGGTCGCCCTCCTTAGACCAAGGGTCTCATGTTCCTGATAGTCCTGTAGGATAATTGGGATACTTAGTTGCACAGGCCTACCTGGGACCCTATAGGTCTTCAGGCAGCCATAGGCCAGTCTCTCTGGGTTGTCTATGTTCTGGAATGTTGGTCTCCCCAGTCCTCGTACATAGGGATCCTCATTTCAGCTCCTGTCTCCTTGATTAAAGGCTTCCTGGGAAATGCCACATCCCTTCAAACTCTTGAGCAGTTTCCCAACTGTAAATTTTGCAGAAAGTAGTTCCTTGCCCCAGAATTATGAGACCTGAGGAAGCTGTAGCTTAAGACAAGAGGCCTAGGACAGGTGGTGTGCTCTCACCAGCCAGACGTAGCCTCTTATGTAACTTCAGCTCTATTAACTTTCTACAGAGAAGGGGCAGAGCCTCAGATTTTTGAGCCCCTGCTCTTTAGAGGTGATGTGATATTGCATTTGTAGATGATCATGTGATTGCCAAATATTAGCTCTTTTTTTCTTTATTCATACTCTTCATTTATTTTAATATTCTTACTGCTCTGGTAGTGTGTTCCAATCCAGCAGTTTGCACAGAGCCTTTCTTCTTACTGCCTGAGATACATTTTAGAGTAGGGAGAAGAAACGTGAATTAGGAGATACAAGGCATATTTCCTTATTAAAATGAGCCCCTGTACCGTGGACTGAATGTGTCTCCCCCAAATTCATGTGCTATCATTTTAGCCCCCAGGGTGATGGTATTAGGAGGTGGGGCCTTCAGGACGTGATTAGGTTGTGAGGGTGGAGTCCTTGTGAATGCGATCAGTGCTCTCACGCACCCTGAGAAAGATCTCCTAGCCCTTCCACTATCTGAGACAAGCAAGAAAGAGCCACCTCTGAACTAGGACGTGGGCTCTCACCAAACACCAAATCTGCTGGCACCTTGACCTTGGACTTCCCAGCCTTCAGAACTGGGTGAAATAGATTGTTGTTGCTTATAAGCTACCCAGTCAATGGTATTTTTGTCTTAGCCCAAACGGGCTAAGACACCTTAAAACAAGTGTGACCACCTACAGTGATGTACATTAAGGGGCCGTCGAAGGCTCACCTGTCTGTGGTTATAGGCCAGGGAGCCCTGGTTCCTTTCACTGATGTCTGGAGTGGGCATAGTTTTTCAGTAATGGTGAATTATGTCAGCATTAGTTGGTGATGCTAATCAGGCTGCTTTCCTACAGTTTGGGTTTGCAAATTGGACAGCTACCTCTTACAAACACTGATCTCTGTTCAGATGCTTGCACCTTACAAATCTCAAGATGCTCACCAGCCTATAGCATGGTAGAAGGGACGTGGAAAGTTAGTCCTGGCACAGGAGCGCATTTTCACGGTTGATGAGTGACTCTGTGCACTGCAAATGGAGACTGCTTGACAGCTTTGTTGGGAATGATAAGTAAGGTAAATGTTAATATTTGCCTAAAAGGCAGAATTGACAAACTTTGACTCCTTCTGCTTTACTTTGCCTTACCCATGCTCTAGGCTCAGTTGTGAGAGAATGACCACATAGACGCCCACGAAGGGAGTTTTGTGGGTTTCTGTCACTGATTCAGGCACCGTGTTAGACACTACGGCTGGAGAGGGAGGGAGGGAGAGACAGAGAGAATGGGAGGGAGACACTGAACGATTCTTGCCCCTAAGGTGCTATATTAGTCTTATGCTGGAGGGTCAGCAACTACAGCTCTCAAGCCAAATCTAGCCCACCATCAGGTTTTTCAAATACAGATTTGTTAAAACACAGCCATGTTCATTCATTTACATGTTATCTATGGCTGATTTTATGCTACAACAAGAGGGTTGAGTAGTCTTGACAGACACTGTGGATCTCACAAGGCCTAAAATATTTACTACCTGGTCCTTTACAGAGAATGTTTGTCAATCCCTGATCTAGTGGGAGAGACCAGCATTCACACAAGTAAATAGAATTCAAGACAGTTTATGATATAAGCTAGGGCCCGTGCAGAAAGGGCTGTTTGAGCACAGGAGAGCAGGAAGGCTTCACAGGGACAGAACCCTGGAGCTGAGCTTTGAGGAATGGGTTGGATTCAGGCCAGCTGAGTTGTAAGAGGACATCTCAGGTGAGATGGTCTTTAACCTTGTCTGCTCATTGCAATCGCTCGGGGAACTTCGAATAGGCATGCCTGGTTCTCCCCTCCCAGAGATTCTGACTCAGTTGTTCTGGGGCAGGGCCTGGGCATCAGGATTTTTTTTTTTTTTTTTTTTTTAAGAGAAAGCAGGAGAGTGAGGGAAGGGGCAGAGGGAGAGGGAGAGAGAATCTTAAGCAGGTTTTGAGTTTAGATGAATGGGAGAATTTTGACAACCATTAGAAGGCAAAGGGGACACAACAAGAGGTGAAGGATATTGAGAGAGAGCGATTTTAGTTTTGAATATACATAACCAGTTAGCGTCTAAGTGGGACTGGCTTTTATTATTAGGCATCTGCACAATTTGGAGTGACTTCTTTTCTATGTTCTCTTAAAATGTGCAACAAGGCAGAAACTTTTAAGACACCATGGGAGCTAGAGACCAGTACGGGGGTTGATGGCCCTATGCTCCCTTCCCAACATTCAGGTAGGACCTAGCAGGTTTTCACCCTTGGCTTGTGAGATGTTTTCCTTTTGTATCTGTCCAAACAGAACCACACCCTCCTGCTCTAAAGGGACAGCAAACAAGGTTTTGCCTGCAATCTTGATTCTGCTTCTGAGAGGGTAGGTACACTGGAGCTTTTAACAACCTCTTCTTAAATAAAATTGGAACAACAGCATCTAATCAGAAACTGAGGACCT